CTGAACAGCTGGCTAGGCCGCAATTCCAGGTGAGGTCATAACTGCAGCTTTCAGTCCAAACATGAAACAGTAGCAATTTACTATATATAAGCCAAGCATCAAACAGGTCTCTATGTAAACCTATGTGCAGCCTGCAAAACAGTCTGCACAGCAAGACTTATTTTGGAGTCCTACATCCGTTTTTGGGCGCTACACTTAAGAGGACTTGGACTGGAGGAGAATCAGAAGTGAGAAAGGCAAAAAAGCTCTGAAAGCAGGATCCAAAGCATGAAATGCAGTGATGTTGTTTATGCTGAAGAAATTGCATGAAACAGGTAAGAATTTTTTCCCCAGGTGTATCAAGCTCTCCATGACAGGCATTTTTTTCCACATCTGTAGAAGAAATAGGCCTTAGCTGAAGAAGAGAGACTCAGATAACAGATCAGGAACACCTTTAAAAAAAGATCAACACATGTTTTAGATTGCTTGGCAAAGCTATCAAGTCTCTCATGTTGTAAATCTTCAAGAACCTGTTAGACAAACCTCTACTAGAAGTGATAACGGACACGGTGAGGACAGGAGGCTAGATTATATGGCCTCTCATGGCACCTTCCAAATCAAGCTTTTATTAGCGTAGTTGGCTCACTGAGGCATCTTCATCAGCCTGTTTATTTGGTGAATTCATGTTCAGTATCTGGTCAAGTGGTAGATGAGACTGCTATGATCCTCCCCGAGACAGTGATGGAGAAGGTATTTGCATACCATATATTGTGTCAGGGAAAAGAGCACACTGACACAAAAAGGCATCCAAGCATGAGACTGCAGACAAGCACACAGCACACAAGTGCTATAGCTATATTGCCACTTTTTCAGCTTCACAAATCTTCAAGTCCAAAGAGTTCTTCCCATGATAGCAAGGGGGAGAGAAGAACACATGCCACAAATCCTCTTTATCTAGAAACCAGTATATCAAAAAAACAACTGATAAGCTTTGTCTTGAAAGGGATTAAAAACATTTCATTTGCTGGCAAAACAGGTAGAAGAGATTTACGGGAGGACAGGAGCTCCCACAGAAAACTTGAGCTTATGAAGCTTGCTGTCTAGGTAATTGATGTAGCTCTTAAATCATTGTCTGCACCTGAAAAAGACAAGCAACTACAGAATCATTTCAGTTGACAGATCATCACAGGAAGAGCTTGAAATTATAATCTTCAGTTCCCAGTTCATGAGTTACACACCACAAATAACTAGTTTTAAAACACTTAGTGGCAGCCATGTAGATTCTTTTACTACAGAACCACTGACAGGTTTGAATCACACTTGCAAGCTCCAGCAAGAAGTGGAAAGAAGCTGCATTCAAACATTGAACTCTCACTTTTTAGCTACTGAAATGCAACTAAGATGCCATCAACATGCTGTACCCCAATAAGGAAGCTAGAACTTCTAGTTCACACGGGTATTTGAACCCATATGCAAACTCTGAAGTGCTCACCACATGCATGTTCCTACACAGCAGGAAATAACCACCACTAGCCAAATTAGTACTGTTTTGAGAATCACAGTACTGAATTTCCTTTACCTTCCCTCTCTCCCTTACCCCTGCATCTGCCCAGTGCTACATTGGTGAATAGCTCTATCATATCTGATTAAAATGTGGGTATGAAAATGAAAGGGTGGGATACTATTAATTGAAACAGTCCAGTTACTGTTTTTATTTGGACCTCCTTCCCCTATTCACAGAATTCTTCAGAGACACAAAAGTGTGGATGTATAAATCACCAATTTAAGTAATTACAGAAAAACAAAGGACTAAATCTACATACTAAACGTCAGTAGATTAACTCTACAGAATCAAAGAGACTACATTAAAGCTTCCACAAATTTTGGCTCAGGCTTTTTTAAGATGAAGTCAATTTCTTTCTGCCCCAAAAGTTAAATGCATCTGCAAACACCAGCTAATGCACTGCTATAATTCTAGGAACACATTAGAACACTCCGTTGAGAGTTTGTTGGCAGAACATAACATCCAACTTCAGCCTAATTTGACTTGAGGGGGAAGACACCAGCAGGGGTGGGGTACAGACTTATTCTTCAGTTGCACCTTGGACAGCTTTAGATTTACTCACATTAAGAAAGCACAAAACATACAAAGCCTTGTATACATTACCAGAACTGTTTAATCCTTTACAGAAAGACCACTAAAAATTGTCATAAGCCATATTCACTATGAAGTTTATTAAATTTTATCATGCTGAGCTGTAAAGCAATACACAAGTACTAATGTTACATAAAAGGTTTAAATGGAATCACTTAAGTGTATGGCTTCATGCCTGTAAACACAAATAGTTCCAACTACTGAAAGAACAGAAGCTAGATGATCAGAGAATCTAATAAGCATTATTACCTTACTGTTTTTTAAAAAGCATAATCATAACCTTAAAACAGCCAAATCATTTCTAGATTAATAGCAGAGTGATAATTCTAATGATACAACTAATGGTACAAGGGATAGCTAAAGTGAAAAACGTACCATGGAATCTAAGCATGTCGTGTTTTCTCCAAAACACTGGAAATGAAGCCTTATGACCTTAGGTACTGAAAACAATGAGTAGGATTTAACTATGACAGTTTATTTTGTCATTAATGGTGTTTTCCTTTAGAGATGGTCAAATGAGGTACCTTTTACAGACCCATCAGGTTTCAGTTCCTTTTAAGAAGCATTTTGAAATTTAGACAAATAGCCATTAAAGTAGAAATTGTCATTGTATTTGCATTGTTCCTTTGTAGTTACATCATGTCCACAATTCTTAGGCACATCATCTTCTGAATGTGCTGCTATAACACTATTAAAGACCTAAAAAAACATACCACAGAGAAAATGCCTTTCATAACAGAATTAGGGATTCTATACACAAACACTTCACATTCAATGTTGAACAGTATAAGATTCTGTGTTTTCACTAAAGCATTTTAATAATACTTTGGCAGAGC